CTCCGCGGGGTGCTCTGGGGGCTGCGGGGCCCCGGGGGCGTGCTCGGCGCTGCGCGCTGCAGAGCGTGGGGTGCTGGGGTGCCCCCCGTGCCGCAGCCCCCGGGGTGCGCTCAGGGCCACACTGCGTGGCCCGGGGCAGCTGGCCGGACCCCCCAGCTCGCCTGTGCCCGGAGCCGGTCTCGCTGCTGGCGGGTGCCAAGCTGGAGACCGTGCGCCCTGCGCCGTGCCAGATCCCAGGCTCCAGGGCTGCACCGCGCCAGGCCTCGGCACGGCCACGCTGGCCCCAGCCCAAGCCCAGGGCTTTGTTGCCGGCTGGACAGTGGCACTGAGGGAAGTCCCAGCGCGGGGCGGGAGCCAGGACACTGCTGAGGTTTCTTCCAGCAGAGCAGAGGCCGTTAGCAGTGCCCAGCACCTCCCTGCAAACGGGCGGCTGGGTAGCACGCAGGCTGGGATGCCATCGCCCCTAAGTAAGCGCTCCCTCGCCCCCGAGTCAGGCCCTGACCCCACTGTGCCATGGGGAGAGCCCCGAGTCCCCCCGGGCTCCTCGTGGTGCATTGGGGAGGCCGGGCTCGAGGGGCTGGTGGCACTTCGCTTGTGCCTTTGCTCTCACCAGTAGCGCTGTGCCTCGGAGAAGCCCGGTTTCGGTTGGGGTTTATGGACTGTCTTATTTCCCAACTGGGACTTGCCAAGGGCTCTTGCCACGGTGCCCATTTCTTGCCGACGGGTTGGGGGGAGCGGGGATGGGCAGGCAACACGTACGTGTGCATTTGATGCTGCTCTTATCTGGGAAAGACCGTTAGAGGGGTAATTTCACATTTTTAATCATGGCCATTCAGTAAAAGATCTGTCAGCAGCAGACCGAAGAGCAGTAGATGTTATAAAAACCCGGAATTCCTTGTGTTTACTCTGCCGACCTGGTAGGGACCGAGCAGCAGCAGCCGGAGCCGGGGGAAGGCGCTGCTGGAAGGCGCGCAGGCAGCGCTAGGACCCGGGGCGAGCGGGGCCGGGCCGGGCCCCCCAGCTGCACAACCCCCGCTCCCCGGGCTGCGCCAGCCTCCCCTCGCAGGGGGCTGCCCGGGAAAAGAAAGGGGGGGAAAAAAAAAAAAGGAGAGAGGAAAAAAACCAGAAACCCTCCTGGCGTGGAGCT